AGAGAGAGAGAGAGAGAGAGAGAGAAGCGTGTGAAATCGCAGACAAAAGAATTACCGTTTTATTCCTTTTGTAGCTGCTTCCGCAAAACTCCGCACATCGTGGTAATCTATGTTAAGCGGACCCGTTGAGCTGTAAATGAGCCTTTTTGCGGGCAAATTGATGGGCAAAACCGCGCCGATCACGCCCAGTGCAGCATCGATCTGGGCCGCGGAATAGAGGACGGTTTTGAAGGGTTCCGGCTCGTTGCATCCAGGAGCACTTCCGGACACCAGGATAATGCCATCATAATCGCAGCTGCTGATATTCGTTTCAATTTTCAACTGACATGGCATCCATCTGAAATGAATCATTATACTTGTTATTTGAACGCCTCGCTAATTGTTAGCAAATCCGGTTAGACAAAAGCAAGATAATTACTCATTAACGAGAACACGATATGTCCATTGAAATCAGCATAATTATAGCGAAATTCAAATCAGCAGAGGAAAATAAAGATTCCCATTAAAAAAGGAAAAAAAAGAGAGAAAATATTCATTCGATGCCATTAATCCATTAGCCAAATTATTCATCGACCAAAATTACGGCCTGTTAGATTTCAACGATGATAAATATATTTGTATTATCTAAAAGAGTAAATGCAAATGCTTTAATATTCTTTTTTATATAAATATGTAAGTTAAATGCACGAGGAAAAAGCATAATTTTGTTTCAACATAATCAACATATTCGATTGATATTGACGTTAATCCGATCTATCTATAAAGTGTGTTTCTAACTAATGAATTAATGCATCTTTTGATATCAAAGCGTGCAACTTTCCTCTATCGCCATTTTTACTATAAAAAGAATGTGCCAAAAATTGTCACTCACAGACAAGCCTATTTATACTATTCTGTTTATACGTAGTAACAGAGAAAAAAGTAAAGGAAAAAAATATCGTAATAATATTGTCATCATATATAATATAATATTTGATATTACATTACATTATACTTTTTATTTTAAAAGTATTTAATACAATTATTTTTATTTTTATTTAAATAAACTAATTCGCTTTTTCAGTAATAATATAAAAATTTTCATAAAATTATTAATGTAAAAATTGTAACTGTACCACTTGTATTATTTCTGTAATTATACTGTGAAAACTTTGCATATTTTCTATTCAGTAAAATTATAAAATCTCTCAGTGAAAGTCACAAACGAGAGATATGAAATTTCCACATTTTTATTTCTATATATTCTACAATGTTTATAGGATATTGGTGCTACGTTTGATTCGCGCTATGGGATTTTTTAACACATTTTCTCTCTTTATGTTTGTAATTTCTTCTCATTATTCTTTCAGTAAAATCAGATAAAAGAATAGACTAAATGTTTGGTTTGAAAAAGAAGTAAATCACTATGTAATATCACTTTGTAATATTTCATGGCAAGCCAGTGACGCAAGCGTACATTAAAAGACCGCGATAAAGTAGTATAGTTTAAAATTTACAATGCCATTAAATCGTCAGACGTAATCTCGAAGTAATCTAAAAGTTTCTTTTACTTATCTTTACCGCAGTTTTCAAAACCTAACCGTTTGTGCGTGCATTTTGTAATAATGGAACACTTGTACATTGTTTCATTTTTATATAAAGTTGATTTGTAACTGAAAGCTAACTTATAATTAATAACTTCGATAAGCACAAATTGATAACTACAGCCTCAATTAAAATTTGTTTTTAGTTCTCAACATATGTAGATGATTTTTAGATATGCTATCTTTGATTGATATCACATGTATGAAGCAAAATTTTTATGTTTTCTCGTAATATATTTTATATCTTTTAATATCAAATTATTATTATTTTGAATTATATCCAACTAGCTTGGAAGCAAACAAAAAGAAAAAGAATTGATTGATATTTTATTTGTGCATGATATGTGTTAATAATAAACATGAGCAAGAGCCCCTCCATCAATCAATCGGACAATCAATAACAGCGTTGCTAATATGTTTTGTAATTCGAATTTAATTCATTTAAGTATAAATATAATATTTTATTAGAAAATAAATTTGTATGTGTAGTATACAGATTATACATATTATTATTTTTTATTATTTTTTAAAAAAATGTTACATTATTTTTAGTAAAAACATATTTATAAATACTTTATCGTTATTTACTAATATATACGTAATACTATACGTTATCTTTATACAGTTTTTGTACTTAGCTTTATCTATCTGCGAGGGATGTATTTTAAGTAAATAACGTATAAATGTATGAGTAAAAAAATTAAAGATAATATAATTTTAGAATGTTTTCATCGATATGCAAACGTTAATATTTCAGTCGAGTAAGAAATCCAAATATAACTATATATAAAAAGGCTACATAAACCTCTTGCCATAATACCACAAAGATTCTTTTTATGCAAAGGAAAAGAAAATATTGGAGAAGCAGATGTGCACGTGTACTTATAGGAAATGTGCTGCATGAAATGCACGAAAATATCGAGGGTTATTCCGAAAAATGGTGCCAGCGAAAACATATGATTCTTACGATCGGCTAACGATAACAACTTTCAAAGTATCTTGTATCGCACATTGATATAGAATTATTTGAAATAGTGATCAGAAATGTTTATCCTACGCTATCTATATGACTGTTATGGTCATGAAGTGTTTTGTCAATTAAAGTCAGTGATTAGATTTAATTAGATTTTAATTTAGAGTTTAATATCAATTGTAATTGATGGAAAATGTGACGATTTAATGAGAAACTACTTCATTAAGTTTAAAACGTTCTTTTGCAGCGATAGCAATTAACGCAAATCTCACTTTAATCTAGGGTAGATTTATCGTATTCGTACATATTACGTTCTCTAACGGTAACAGGTTTTTTTTTTTTTTTTCCCCGTATCGCGAAATCAACCTGGTCGATCCTGGCTGAGTGGTCACAATTCGGGCACAATAATCGTCGAATTCTATTGAAGACAATAAATCTCAAGAGTACACATGATATCGCGGGCGCGGTAAATCGAACATCCCATCGATCGCGAACATAATCCAGCGGACAATAATGCACCCCCCGCGATTCTCGCGAACGCGCGTGTACATATCAAGCGGTGATAATGAAGTCTTTGTAGATCTACGACCATTGCTGCCATCAGGTGTTTCCACGAGCTCGCTTCGTACGATTTATGCACGATGCGCTAATAATTTATCGCTATCTATGTTTATCTGTGTGTTTAGCGTATATCGAAACTAACGGTAACTTATAGAAAAATGGAAAAAATCAAGTGAAGCGGGGAGCGGCTTCTAAAAATTATATCGTATACATTATGTAGCGCGCGGTATCTCGATATGTGAATAACAGTATGTAACATGTACTAATACATCAATCATTTTATCATGACACAATGTTATCATTGACTTGATTTGATTTTGTATATATGAATTTTCAAAAGTCATAAGTACGTGACATAACTGCAATAAATAAATGAATATATATATATATATATATATAATTTATCGATTATTTTTTTATTATACATTCATACTCGAATATATCAAGCATAACTTATAAAACCAATAGATGTATATTTCATAAAAAAGAGTATTACGAAAAGACCTATTTTTGCTGTAATCAGGGAAATAAACGTCATTTCTTATAATTTTTGAAGCGTGAATGGCGCTTAGCTCGATGATGCTAATTAAAATTGTGTTACATGACGGAAATACATAAAAAAATCGAGTTTAAACGCGGGAAAACGCGTCGTGTCATTCGCAAGACTGCTCACTATGTTACATGTGTCGATGATACACACAGCGTAATACATCATTTTTGACGTTAAAAATAGAGAATATCTTATGAAAATACTGTTATAACATTTTTCAGGCGCCGATATGCTATCATATCAAAATAGGCCTTTTCGTAATCTTTTTTTTTCATAAGAACATCTTGTAAAATTGGAGTTAAAAAGGAGTTTAAAACACAAAACATGGCGGACACTGCTGTATTATGTTGAAGTTCGATATCGTCTTATCTCAGTTGCTGATGAATGAAACTAATTTCTATCAAGTGTATGCACACAATGTGCAATCAATCGGGAAACATGTTCTAAGCTGTGCGAGCTAATGGTGCCAGAAACTTTGCAGTTTCGAAACAGTTGGGCACCACTGCGTCTCGCGTAACAGTTATGAAACGAATCAGCATTGGCTCGGGGAAATTCGCATTTCTCACGAGTTCGCGCAAATCCGCAGGCAAATATGTTCACGTCGCGCTCTCGACGTAGACTAGCTAATTATTCACCAAGAAATCTACAATTTACAGCGGCATTACGAAATTACCTGGTAATTATAGTGTGCGATTTTAGTACGTTTCGTAATGACAGTTTCGTCGAACTTGAGCATTCAATACAGCACTCGACATTGTACGATATTTCAAATCGGAGAATGACAGAGAATGAATATTCTCGTTTCCAAAGTAGAGCGGCGTATATACAAAATACGATAAAAATAAAAAGTTTCTGCGGACTAAAGTTTGCACGGACTAGCTCTTTTTCTTTTTCTTTAAGTTTATTAAAGCATAATATATTCCATATTTTTGTATAATTTTTTTTTTGTTATTATTAAAAAGAAATTCAAGTGACTAGCTCGATCAAAAGGTCCAAACCACACAATCGTGAAAAACACAATCGTGCCTTCACACGCTGAATTGTCATAGTTCCTCCAAGGATCATCATTCGCGTTTACCGAAATCATCTACTAGCACATATCGGGTCGGAGCATGTGTCGTGTGCGGGCTCTCCGCACATTTACCTCGATTCCACCGCCATGATGCACCGCGCCCACGCTGTACTCCTGGAGGAAATCTGTGCGAGATAGTGTACAGAAATGTATACGTATTATCTTCCGCACACGACCGTACTAACGCGAGAGATCTGTACGCCTCCCGATGACCGACAAAAATAGATACGCGGCTGTTCCGCGTGTTCCAAGCGATTTTGCCGGCGTACTGTCAAAATGGAGGTCTCGCTGCCTGATCGAACGCCTCGAAAAAGCGAAGAGCGCAGGATCGAAGTTGTACTCGCGGTTCACTTCAAATCTGGAAATCCGATGTTGTTCACTACTAACGGCATTGAAAATAGACAGGAAGGTAAAAGAAAATTTCTTCTATATATAAGCATATATATATATATATATATATATTGAAAGAAAGAGAGAAAAAAAGGAGGGAGAGAAAGAGGAAAAATAGAAGATAAGAGCAGAAACTTTATACTTTGTTATCGCTTAGTATGTCAGCAATATTATCATTCCGCGCGCGATAAGATTTGTGAGAGACCAGCTCGAGAACGCGCACAATACTAAAGCAGTGTTTTCGCGAATATAACCGACCGTCTTGCTGCTACTTTACCACTACAAAGCCATTCTGCTACAGTAGAATGTATACCAGTGACTACTACCGTTAAAACGTTGCAACGTTGCCAGCGTTTGTTACTTTGCCGGATCATCTCGAACTTGAATTTCCAGTCTCGAAGAAGTGCAACGTTGATGATTAAACGGCCGATGGTATACAAAATCGCTACACTTGTAATTTTTATTTTATTTAATTATGCCCATTATTATATGCCAATAATTATTTTACACAAACAGCAACAATGACAAAACAATTATTTTATACTTGTCCATTCAAATTACTTAACAAAATTGATGAATCTTGACTTTATTAAGAAAATTATATTTGGCGAGTATTTAATTATATTAATATTATATTAATATTATATTAATATTATATTAATATTTATTGGCCAGCAGAAAAGAGTTGCATTATTTGTAAACAGCAAACTTTAGATCAGATCAACACAATTGAAGAATGTTTCAAATAAAATTAGTCTTAGTCTTAATTATCTTAAAAGAATATTGTATGAAGATTAATCTTTGCAAAAAGAGAAAGATTATTTTAAGGATTACAAGTAATTACAAAGCCGATAAAAAAATAATGAGTTGTATTGTTGAAACAATAAATATATAAGCGTGATGATACAGATAAAGTCAACGATCACAGTCGCTGGAGAGATGCATCATCTTCATTACGTATACATTTCGAAGATATGCAATATTCGATGATTTATATTCATAAAATAGTTCACTTTGTGAAATACAAAAATAGACTTTAATATCAAAGTTTAGTGCGACGACTTTAAAAAACATAATGCACATGCAAACTACATATATACATATATAACAGCCACGCGCAATTTTCTAAAATATAATATTATTTATTGCTATGGAAAGTTCTTGTTTAAGATAAATAATCTAAATAATATACTACTAAAGGAACCTTCGCATATGACTGTTATTTTACGACTTAATATACACACATATATATATATATATATAGACACACACACACACACACACACACACACACACACACACACACACACACACACACACACACAC